ACTCATCAGGACCGTCACTCCGTCTGGAACCTGAAGAAGGAGAAGAAGAAGAAGAAGAAGAAGAAGAAGAAGAAGAAGAAGAGCAAGGAGAACAAGGAGGAGGAGAAGAACGAGAATAAGGATAAGAAGTAGGTAGTGTGTCGTAGTATGTCGTAGTGTGTCGTGATGTGTCCAGGTGTGTCCAGGTGTGTCCAGGTGTGTCGTGGTGTGTCCAGGTGTGTCCAGGTGTGTTGTGGTTTGTCCAGCTGTGTCCAGGTGTGTCATGGTGTGTCCAGGTGTGTCGTGGTGTGTCCAGGTGTGTCCAGGTGTGTTGTGGTTTGTCCAGCTGTGTCCAGGTGTGTCATGGTGTGTCCAGGTGTGTCGTGGTGTGTCCAGGTGTGTCCAGGTGTGTTGTGGTGTGTCCAGCTGTGTCCAGGTGTGTCATGGTGTGTCCAGGTGTGTCCAGGTGTGTTGTGGTTTGTCCAGCTGTGTCCAGGTGTGTCATGCTGTGTCCAGGTGTGTCGTGGTGTGTCCAGGTGTGTCCAGGTGTGTTGTGGTTTGTCCAGCTGTGTCCAGGTGTGTCATGGTGTGTCCAGGTGTGTCGTGGTGTGTCCAGGTGTGTCCAGGTGTGTTGTGGTTTGTCCAGCTGTGTCCAGGTGTGTCATGGTGTGTCCAGGTGTGTCGTGGTGTGTCCAGGTGTGTCCAGGTGTGTCCTGGTGTGTCCAGGTGTGTTGTGGTGTGTCCAGCTGTGTCCAGGTGTGTCGTGGTGTGTCCAGGTGTGTCCAGGTGTGTTGTGGTTTGTCCAGCTGTGTCCAGGTGTGTCATGGTGTGTCCAGGTGTGTCGTGGTGTGTCCAGGTGTGTCCAGGTGTGTTGTGGTGTGTCCAGCTGTGTCCAGGTGTGTCATGGTGTGTCCAGGTGTGTCCAGGTGTGTTGTGGTTTGTCCAGCTGTGTCCAGGTGTGTCATGGTGTGTCCAGGTGTGTCGTGGTGTGTCCAGGTGTGTCCAGGTGTGTTGTGGTTTGTCCAGCTGTGTCCAGGTGTGTCATGCTGTGTCCAGGTGTGTCGTGGTGTGTCCAGGTGTGTCCAGGTGTGTTGTGGTTTGTCCAGCTGTGTCCAGGTGTGTCATGGTGTGTCCAGGTGTGTCGTGGTGTGTCCAGGTGTGTCCAGGTGTGTCATGGTGTGTCCAGGTGTGTTGTGGTGTGTCCAGCTGTGTCCAGGTGTGTCATGGTGTGTCCAGGTGTGTCCAGGTGTGTTGTGGTTTGTCCAGCTGTGTCCAGGTGTGTCATGGTGTGTCCAGGTGTGTCGTGGTGTGTCCAGGTGTGTCCAGGTGTGTCATGGTGTGTCCAGGTGTGTTGTGGTGTGTCCAGCTGTGTCCAGGTGTGTCATGGTGTGTCCAGGTGTGTCCAGGTGTGTTGTGGTGTGTCAGAGGTCATGAGAGGTGGGGACTCACCCTGACGGTTGCGGTGTACGTGCTCTTGACAGCAGGTGTGTCGAAGCAGGGGAAGAAGGAGCGGTTACAAACTGAGTGTCCCTGAGTGAAGACCAGAGGACGAGACTGTCCACAGGTCAGCTCCGAGTCCAGCCACCAGATCTGCACGCACACACACACACACACACACACACACACACACACACACACACACCAGTATCAGTGTGTTGACAGATCACAGATCAGTACTGATCCAGAACCTTCCTATTGGTTTTATTACATGAATCATGATCCAGAAACACGCAGAGCCTTTCACAGTGAATGAATGATGTCATCATGACTGATGTCATCATGACTGATGACATCATGACTGATGACATCATGACAGCGTCTGAATGTGATAGAACAGTTTTACAGTGTGATGACCTCTGAGTTTAAAGGTGTTTCATCGACACCCTCAGGAGGTTTAATTCATCCATTCATCAATTCACACATTAATCATTATTATTATGGTCTTTATTTTAATCACTGATTCTTTCACTGCATCATCACATGATCAGCACCTCATTCATTATCATTATTA